CATTAGGCCATTATCCGGAAAAACCGAAATTTTTTGACCCATTTTGAAGATTCTCATTCAAATTTTCCAAATCTGTGTAAAATCTGGTGCAAAAAAATCGCGAGTAAGTCGGATTAGGGAAAAAATTTCGAGCAAAAATTTTTAGGGGCCGCAAGCTTAGGCAATTGGGCTTACTGTAGCAGCAAAACGGGATACCTCGATGTGCTGGCTGGTTTGTAGCAAACGTTCAAACGGGAAAATTCTTCAAAAATTCACCGACTGGCTTACGAAAAACGTTTGCTGTGCTTTATCGGAGGGGTTGACCTATGGACAATGGGGTATCGGCAGAAAGCTGAGGATTTGGGCTACATGCCTGGTGCAATTCCGGTGCGGATACTGAGAGATCTCGGGCGGAAACGGGGGCGGAAAGAGGCCGCGAAATACACGCTGTCGGGTGTTATTTGCTGCTCTGGATGGCTGTTGTTGGAGTCCCGGCGTAGTACAGCACTCCCTACCCACTCCTTTCCCTCGTGTTCCCGCCAGAAAAGCACCCCTTGGGGGGTTTTTCCCTCCGTCCACCCAAATGACCTCCGATGACCTTTGGCCGAATTTGGCGCGCACCGGTCACAGCTGCTGTTTCTTCGATAGCTCAGCCCTTTATTCATACGGAGTGGCCAGTTTCGCCTGGTGCGCTAGCTTTTTTCTCCGTCCAATTTTTGGTCGTTTCGCTTGGAATACGTGAGTGTAATCTGTTTTTGACGTAACTATCCAGTTGACAACTTTTCCAAGTTACTTTGACCAGTGCTACTTTATCACTCAGCAGTGGTCAGTCAGCCTGCTGGCGATCCTAACGTTCGTTTTGTCTCCTGAAAGCAACCCGGGGACATTTTCCCGTAACTCGCAAGACCCCCCCTAAGATTTTTCTGTTGGGGAGGGGGAGGGGTTCCGAAACTGAGTTTTGTGTCTTCCTGATCGTTCCCGAGGGAACCGGAAGCGTTTTTCTGGTAGTTCTCAGAAAATCCGAGATCCGCAATTTTGTTATTTTTTGCTCACAGCGAAGGGTTCCCGAAACTGAGTTCCCAAGTCTCACCGGTCGTCCCCAGGGATTCCTGGACTTTTTTGGGTGGTTCTAAAAAGAGTTCCACGTTTTTGCTATAAATTACCAATATCTCCCCGTGACTTACCGATATTTCCCCGATTGTTCCTAGGAGGCGTTTTTTCGTTAGAATAACTCGAATTTCATGCCCTTGATGTATTCTGTCCACCACAGATCGATTCCTGTGCTAAAAGCTCTTCCACACACCCCGGTCACCCCGCTCCCCTCCGCAGAAGACCGCCATGTGTCCGCCCCTTTTGCCAACTAGGTTTCCGAAAAGTGAGTTTCGTCTCCTCGATGGCTCCCGATGGGACCCGGGGATTTTCGCGGTATCTCCCAGAAAACTCGGGAAATTCCCACTTTCTTCGAGAGTCGTTTTCCATACCGGTTTTTCATGTGTGTGAGGCGGAGCATCATCGTATTGCTGACAAGAAGAACGCATTCCAAGCACACTACGTTTTCTTGGTCATTGATAACGCTCGCTCCCTAGTTCCATCCTTCTGGCTTCCCCAGACCATAAACACGGGATTTTACCGATTTTGAGACAGAAAAAAAGGGAAATGTGTAATTTTCGAGTTTTTATTAAAATTTGTGAGTTACACGTAATAAAAATGATAACGACATATATGGAATCAGTGGAATAGGAATGTTTCGGTCCATCAAGTCGTACGTGCGAAAATTAAAATAGTGACATACATGTACATTTATGAAATCAATGGAATAGGAATGTTTCGGTCCATCGAGTCATACGTGCGAAAATTAAAATAGTGACATATATAAATAGAATCAATGGAATAGCAATATTTCGGTCCATCAAGTCGCTCGCGTAATTCAAATGATTTCTTCGCGCCAAAAACCAACCAATCCTTATGGCTTTTTTCAGTTCTGCGCAAATTCCAAGTTCCAAAGCGTTCAAAAATGTCCGAAACGAAAGCATCAGAAGCTGTAACAGCATCAGATCCAGCTGCACCAACAACAGCCCCAGCAGCACCAACACCGAAACAGAAATCAGGCGGTGGCACGCAAAAAAAGAAAGCAACGAAACATCCGCGGACTGGAACCGCAAAGCATGCTGCTGCTTCGCATCCACCGTACGGAGCGATGATCAAGGGAGCCCTGAAATCGTTGAACGATCGAAAAGGTTCCAGTCGTGCGGCAATCTTCAAATATATCATGCAGCACTACAACCTCGGCGGTAACGTTGCAGCGGTTTGTTGCTTTCCTGAAATTTGTACTAATCGACCCAGCCATAGGGGGTTTTTTTTCATTCAATTCCATTTAAATCGGCTTTTTTCAGTTTTCGTATTTTCTAGTTTTTTTTTTTACTTATTTTATCTTAATTTTTTTTTGTACGATTTCATTTAAATCGTATTTTTTGTATTTTAATTGCTTTAGCTTTTTTAGTCTTTTTTAGTTTTTTCATTTTTGCATTCTAATTATTTTAGTTTTTCCTTCAGTTTTTGGTTGTTTTTTTCATTTTAGTTTCATTTTTGTATGATTTCATTTAAATCGCAAGAAAACGCATTAAGGTGATACCACTTATGTGTGTGTGTGTGTGCGTGCGTGCACGCGCATGCGTGCCTGCGTGCCTGCGTGTGTGTGTGCTTGCGCGTGCGTGTGTGTGCACGTTTGTACGAGATTTTTGTTGTGCGTATGTTTGTGTGTTTGTCCGTTGGGTTGTTTCAACAGCTCCAAAACTGCAAAGGCTAGCAAACTAAATCCCGGGGCTAAACTTGATGACCTTGTACAAATCCAGAAATGTAAAATCCAATCCAGAAATCCATATATCCAGAAACCCCTGTTTCCTGTACATCGTAAAGGACGCAGAAAAATGATAATGCGGTAAATTAACGCGGTTGCAAAAGAGCCTCATATTATTCCACATCTCTAGGAAACAGACTTATGTAAATAATTCATCGTGATCGTGGTGAAGCTTAATTCATAGTGCATAGCATCATTCACCGAATTTAAGTCCATCATGAATGAGCAAATGCTCGTCCAACATAATTTATACCGCCACTTTTCTTCTCTGTTACTCTCTTCCGTGTGCACTGTCTCTCGCCCTACTCACTTTCCAAACTATTTCCT